CCCCCATGCCTTATACATTCAGAGATTGAGCTGAACTTACTTTGGAGGAGACCTGGCAAGGGTGACAGGTGTCACAGATGGAAGGATGGAGAATGGAGAGGCAGACACCCTGCTCGGTCTCTCCCTAAGTGGGGTCAGGGCGATGAAGGCCAACCAGCCCACCCCACAATTGGGTGAGATAGCATCCTTTGTGTCTACTTCTCACCCTGTGGACCAAGCCACTCCCCTCAGCTCCAGGAAGCCCTCTGCATTCCACAACAGTGTACTCTACCCTCACATTCTGCTCACTTTAAGTGAGAATGAAGAGAACAGTTGGCCCACAGACAACTACACAGAAAGATAGGGCTCATGGCTGGTATGCACAGTGGCAGTGGCAGTGTTACAGAGTAGGAAAATGTTTAGGTCTGCTTAATTACCTAGCCACCTCAGCAGCTTGACAGCATGTGCAAAGTTTCTAGGAACTGAGCTCACACACCTGAGCAATGGCCTACAAAGAACAAACAAATCAACACACCTGAGCAACGGCCTACAAAGAACAGACAGATCAAAATTAAGAATAGTCCTGACCTTTAAGTTACCCACAAATGAATAACAGGAGGATGATGAATAGCTTGGCTAAAACTATGCAATTAGCTTTTGTAACTTGGCTTTGCTTGCTATAGGAACCTGAACACAGATGCAGTTGTCCCCTTTAAATATTGAACTCTGCAGATGGACGGGGCCATTTCTCTCTTGGGCTTCCCGAGTGGAGGAGTGGACACTGGCCAGTCAATAAAGGCTCTCTAAATTTTAATCAGTCTGGAGTTCTGGTCATTCTGTCGCTCTCACTCCACAACAGCGGGAGTCTCTCCTGCCTCTATGGCAGCACTAAGGAGCAGCGAACTGAGTGGTGAGGAGCAGTGAGCAGGTGAGCAGTAAGGAACAAGGATTCCCGGACTATGAGAGGGATTTCCAACTGTTGGTTTAGGTGGACATCCCCTGAGGGGTCCTGGACTGCAAGAGGGTGCAGACTGGGCTGAAGGACCAGCCCCCTCCAGTGCACAAACTCTCAATAAAAGGGATAAATAAAATGGACATAAGGAATTTATCTGAAACAGACTAAAGAATAATAATGATAAAGATGCTCAACAGCATGAGAAAAGATATAGTAGCTATGAAAAAGGAATAGTAGGAAATGACAATAGCACAAATAAAGAACACACTGGAATAAATACACAGCAGATTAGGGGAAGCTGAGGACCAAATCAATGAATTGGAAGACAGGGTTGAGAAATTTATGCAATCGGAGAACCAAAAAGAAAAAAAAACATTAAAAAAACAGGACAGCTTAAGGGAGCTGTGGAACAAGATGAACCAAAGCAATATTTGAATAATAGGTGTGCCAGAAGAGGCAGAAATGGATAGAAAACATGTTTGAAGAAATAATGGCAGAAATCATACAAGTACTTGAGGCAAAGAGATCCCCAAGCAAGAAGAATCCAAACAGATCCACACCCAGACATATAATAATTAAAATGCAAAAAATTAAAGACAAAGAATCTTAAAGGCAGCAAGAGAAAAGCAATCTGTTATCTACATAGGAGTTCCCATAGGCTGACACCTGACTTCTCATCAGAAACTCTACAAGCCATAGGAAATGGCATGAAGTACTTAAGGTAATGGAAAGCAAGGGTGTGAAACCAAGATTGCTATATCCAGCAAGGCTATCATTCAAAATAGATAGTCAAATAAAGAGCTTCCCAGAGCTCCCCCCACCCACTAAAAGAAGGCTAATGAAGTACATCACCACCAATCCAGCATTACAAGAAAGGCTAAAGGGACTGCTGTAATGAGAAGAATAAATATAGAGAGAAACCTAGACATACAGAATTAAAATGGCAATAAATAAATACCTATTAATAATAACTTTAGAGATCTAAGATGGCTGCCAATGGGATGGTGAAGTTGTATCTCCCCCGCTGCATATCCCGCGGCCCACCTGCACCGAGTCTCCCGTCACTCCACCAACCAACACCCCCCACTTCTTCTAAGGCCACTTCTTCAAAATAGACTCACCCAGGCTGAAAACCGACTTCTGCACATGGGCCATGAAGTTTCAATCGCACGGTACGTGCATGCCGGCACGTGATATTTTGTGGAAGAGCCACACTCAAGGGGCCAAAGAGCCACATGTGGCTCATGAGCCGTGGTTTGCCGACCACTGACCTAGACGAAATGGATATATTCTTAGAAAAATACAAGCTCCCAAAACTCAAAAAGGAAGAATTTATAAACCTGAATAGGCCAATAACTACCTAATTAATTGAAGCAGGGATCAAAAATATTCCAGCAAACAAAAGCCCTATTTCAGACAGCTTTACAGGGGAGTTCTACCAAGCATTCAAAGAACTAGAACCTATCCTCCTCAGACTATTCCAAAAAATTCAGGAGGAAGGCACACTTCCAAGCTTTTTATATGAAGCCAGCATTACACTAATCCCAAAACCCAAATTATAGCAAATCAGATTCAGCAATACATCAGAAAGATCATACACCATGACCAAGTGGGATTTATTCCAGGGATGCAAGGATGGTACAATATCCACAAATTAATAAACATGATAGATCACAGAAACAAATTGAGAGACAAAAATCACATAATGAGATCCGCCGTGGCAGTCACTGCAGCCACTGTAGCCTGTGTAGACAGGGAGGGCAGAAGGCAGCTCTGCATGGTGGGGAAGGGCAAGTGGCACACTCATTCCTGTGGGGCATGAGCATGGAGGAACTGAGCAGCTGCAGGCGGAGCTAGGCAGCATAGGTGGCAGCCAGGACAATGGTTTCCATTTGAAGGAGGCTGCTGGAGAAGGGGGCGGCTGGAAGGACTAGCTAGGGCAGTTTGTTGCTCTGGTTGTCAGATGTCAGAAGGCAACAGGACAGAACATACTGCCCCCCCTTTTTTATATCAGTCTTGGGGTTCTGTGTTTAAAAGTAAACTTTGGTTCCTGTGACTCGTGCCTGTGTTGATAGACTTGAGCTGGAGCTTTGCATTGAAGGATAAATAAAAGCACAGCCTCTCACCTAGACATAAATGGATCTAAAGACAGCCATATTTAACACAGCTCACGATGGCAAACTCCAGCTCCTCACCAAGTTGTTGGCAAGCAAATCCAAAGAGGAGATTTCCTTCTTGATCTCTGAGAAAACAAATGGGGCCATGCCACTCTTGATGGCGGCCAGGTATGGGCACCTTGACATGGTGGAATTCCTCCTGGAGCAGTGCAGTGCCTCCATAGAAATCGGGAGCTCGGTCCATTTGGATGGTGAAACCATTGAGGGGGCTCCGCTTTTGTAGGCTGCTTCTGCAGCAGGACATCTGAAGGTGGTTCAGTCTTTGTTAAATCATGGAGCATCTGTGAACAACACAACTTTGACCAATTCAACTCCTCTAAGAGCTGCCTGTTTCAATGGCCATTTGGAAATAGTGAAGTACCTTGTAGAACACAAAGCTGATTTGGAAGTGTCAAACCGGCATGGGCATACCTGCTTGATGATTTCATGTTACAAAGGACACAAAGAGATTGCGCAGTTATTTACTTGAAAAGGGAGCAGATGTTAATAGAAAGAGTGTTAAAGGTAATACTGAATTGCATGATTGTGCAGAATCTGGAAGTTTGGACATCATGAAGATGCTTCTAATGTATTATGCCAAGATGGAAAAGGATGGTTATGGAATGACTCCCCTTCTCTCAGCAAGTGTGACTGGTCACACAAATATTGTGGATTTTGTGACTCACCATGCACAGACTAGCAAAACAGAGCGGATCAATGCTTTAGAGCTTCTGGGAGCTACATTTGTAGACAAAACAAGAGACCTACTTGGGGCTTTAAAATACTGGAAAAAGGCAATGAACATGAGGTACAGTGATAGGACTAATATAATTAGCAAACCAGTACTTCAGACACTAATAATGGCTTATGATTATGCCAAGGAGGTAAAAAGTTCAGAAGAGCTAGAAGGTCTTATTGCTGATCCCGATGAGAGGAGAATGCAGGCAATATTAATTAGAGAATGTATTCTTGGTCCTTCTCATCCTGATACCTCTTACTCTATTAAGTATAGAGGCACTGTCTATTCAGACTCTTGAAATTTCAAATGATGCATCAACCTATGGAAGTATGCTTTGGATATGCAACAGAACAATTTGGACCCATTAAGCCCAATGACCACCAGCAGCGTATTATCTTTTGTAGAACTTTCCTTTATGCTACAGGATAGGGCTAAAGGCCTGCTTGGTACCACTGTTACATTTGATGATCTTATGGGCATATTGTGCAAAAGTGTCCTTGAAATAGAGCAAGCTATCAAACAGACTCAGTGTCCAGCTGACCCCTTACAGTTAAATAAGGCTCTTTCCATCATTTTGCACTTAATTTGCTTGTTAGAAAAAGTTCCTTGTACTCTAGAACAGGACTACTTCAAAAAGCAGACTATATACAGATTTCTTAAGCTGCATCCAAGGGGAAAGAATAACTTCAGCCCTCTTCATCTGGCTGTGGACAAGAATACTACATGTGTAGGGCGGTATCCTGTTTGCAAATTTCCATCTCTGCAAGTTACTGCCATACTGATAGAATGTGGTGCTGATGTGAACGTCAGAGACTCCGATGACAACAGTCCCCTGCATATTGCTGCTCTGAACAACCATCCAGACATCATGAATCTCCTTATCAAATCAGGTGCACATTTTGATGCCACAAACTTGCACAAACAAACTGCTAGTGACTTGTTGGACGAGAAAGAAATAGCTAAAAATTTGATCCAGCCCATAAATCATACCACATTGCAGTGTCTTGCTGCTCGTGTCATAGTGAATCATAGAATATATTATAAGGGGCATATCCCAGAAAAGCTAGAGACCTTTGTTTCACTTCACAGAGTTCCTTTGCTATGCATTAAGCCACGCCCACCAGCCAATCAGAGCAACTATATGCAAATTAACCCAACCAAGATGGTGGCCCCCAGCCACGGAGCTGGAGCAAGCAGGAGGCTTGGTTGCCCCAATGATGAAGATAGCCAAGCTTCTTGCCTGCCATGGTGGCTCTGAGATCCACTCAAAGCAACAAAGTTTTGATTATAGAAGGTAAATAAACCCCAGATAACTGCTTTCAGCCGGCCGTGGCCACAGAGCTGGAGTGAGCAGGAGGCTTCCCTCCCGCCCACACTGGCAGGCTCTAAGCTCCTCTCAAGGCTACAAAGTTTCAATTATACAAGGTAAATAAATCCCAGAATAAAAGGAGAGGCTAGGAGCTTCCATCACCAAAAAAAGGCCCTCAGCCCCTCACCCAGGCTGGCCAGGCACCCCAGTGGGGACCCCCACCCTGAAGGGGGTGTGGCCAGCTGCAAACAGCCATCAGCCCCTCACCCAGGCTGGCCAGGCACCCCAGTGGGGACCCCCACCCTGAAGGGGGTGTGGCCAGCTGCAAACAGCCATCAGCCCCTCACCCAGGCTGGCCAGGCACCCCAGTGGGGACCCCCACCCTGAAGGGGGTGTGGCCAGCTGCAAACAGCCATCAGCCCCTCACCCAGGCTGGCCAGGCACCCCAGTGGGGACCCCCACCCTGATCGGGGACACCTTTGAGGGCAAACCAGCTGGCCCCCATCCATGGACCAGGCCTCTATTCTATATAATAAAAGGGTAATATGCAAAATGACCCTAAGATCAGAATGACTGGGAATGACTGGTCACTATGACACACACTGACCACCAGGGGGCAGAAGCTCAATGCAGGAGCTGCCCCCTGGTGGTCAGTATGCTCCCATAGGGGGAGCTCTGCTCAGCCACAAGCCAGGCTGACAGCTGCCAGTACAACAGTGGTGGTGGGAGCCTCTCCCGCCTCCTCAGCAGCGCTAAGGATGTTCGACTGCAGCTTAGGCCTGCTCCCTGCTGGCAAGTGGACATCCCCTGAGTACTGCCAGAGGGATGTCTGACTGCCAGCTTGGGCCCGATCCCCTAGGGAGCGGGCCTAAGCCACCAGGTGGACATCCCCCAAGGGGTCTCAGACTGCAAGAGGGCATAGGCCAGGCTGAGGGAACCCCCCAAGTGCACAAATTTTTGTGCACCAGGCCTCTAGTATATTATAAGGGGCATATCCCAGACAAGCTAGAGGCCTTTGTTTCACTTCACAGATGATCATTTGACTCTATTTTAGCACTGTTAAAACATGAATTATTAACAGTTGTTTCATAAATGAGCACTGTTGCGATAACATTAGCATTCATTTAGCTTGATATCATCGTGCTCGCATTGGCTAAACCATTATAAGCATTAAATTTATAGGATTGGTTTCCCAGTATTTACTATAAATATACCATCTACACTAATAAAAGAGAAACATGGTAATTAGCATACGACCGATACCCTTTTCATTGGCTAATCAGTGAGTATATGCAAATTAACTGTCAGCCAAGATGTCTGCAGGCAGCCAGGCAGCTGAGAACAGGATGCTTGGTTGCCTCAGCGATAGAGGAAACCAAGGTTCCCGCCTGCAGCTGCAGGGATCTGAGCTCCTGAAGCAACAGCTCCAAAAGATACAATGTTTCAATTATAGAATCTAAAAGATGGCGGTTAATCTCCATACTCAGGCTCCAAGCGGCGAAGCCAAACAGCCCTGAAGCCGCAGAGCAGAGAGGCCTCACTGCCCGGGGATCAGCAGAGCCGGGAGGCCTCCCTGCCCCAGGATCAGCGAAGCCAAGAGGCCTCCCGGCCTCATGGATCAGCGGAGCCAGGAGGAATCCCGGCCCCAGGATCAGCGGAGCCAAGAGGCCTCCTGGCCCCGAGATCAGCGGAGCCGAGAGGCCTCCCGGGATCAGGAAAGCTGAGAGGCCTCCCAGCCCTGGGATCAGCGGAGCCGAGAGGCCTCCCGGCCCCTGGATCAGTGGAGCCCAGAGGCATCCCGGCCCCGGGATCAACGGAGCCGAGAGGCATCCCAGCCCCGGGATCAGCGGAGCTGAGAGGCCTCCAGGCCCCGGGATCAGCGGAGCCAAGAGGCCTCAGGGCCCCAAGATCAGAGGAGCCAAGAGGGATCTCCGCCCCAGGATCAGCGGAGCCCAGAGAAATCCCGGCCCCGGAATAAGCGGAGCCAAGAGGGCTCCGGGCCCTGGGATAAGTGGAGCCCAGAGGCATCCCGGGGCTGGGATGCCTTCCGGCCGCCTGGATTAGAGGAGAGGAGAGGCCTCCCAGCCACGAGATCAGCGGAGGAGAGAGCCCTCCCGGGCCGAAATCAGCGGAGCCCAGAGGCATCCCGGGGCCGTGAGGCCTCCCGGCCACCTGGATCAGCGGAGCCAAGAGGCCTCAGGACCCCAGAAACAGCCGAACTGAGAGGCCTCCTGGCCCCAGGATCAGAGGAGCCGAGAGGCCTCCTGGCCTCATGGATCAGCAGAGCCGAGTGGCCTCCCGGCCCCAGGATCAGAAGAGCCGAAGGCCTCAGGGCCCCGGAATCAGCGGAGCCGAGAGGCTTCCCTGCACCGGGATCAGCGGAGCCGAGAGACATCCCAGCCCCGGGATTAGCGGAGCTGAGAGGCATCCCGGGGCTGGGATGCCTTCGGCCGCCTGAATTAGAGGAGACGAGAGGCCTCCCAGCCACGAGATCAGCTGAGCCGAGAGCCCTCCCGGCCCCAAAATTAGCGGAGCCCAGAGGCATCCCGGCCACGAGATCAGCGGAGCCAAGAGGCCTCCCGGGCCCGGGATCAGGGACAGCCGAACTGAGAGGCCTCCTGGCCCCAGGATCAGCGGAGCCGAGAGGCCTCCCGGCCCCGGGATCAGCGGAGCTGAGAGGCCTCCAGGCCCCGGGCTCAGCGGAGCCGAGAGGCCTCCCGGCCCCGGGATCAGCGGAGCTGAGAGGCCTCCAGGCCCCGGGCTCAGCGGAGCCGAGAGGCCTCCCGGCCCCGGGATCAGCGGAGCTGAGAGGCCTCCAGGCCCCGGGCTCAGCGGAGCCGAGAGGCCTCCCGGCCCCGGGATCAGCGGAGCTGAGAGGCCTCCAGGCCCCGGGCTCAGCGGAGCCGAGAGGCCTCCCGGCCCCGGGATCAGCGGAGCTGAGAGGCCTCCAGGCCCCGGGCTCAGCGGAGCCGAGAGGCCTCCCGGCCCCGGGATCAGCGGAGCTGAGAGGCCTCCAGGCCCCGGGCTCAGCGGAGCCGAGAGGCCTCCCGGCCCCGGGATCAGCGGAGCTGAGAGGCCTCCAGGCCCCGGGCTCAGCGGAGCCGAGAGGCCTCCCGGCCCCGGGATCAGCGGAGCTGAGAGGCCTCCAGGCCCCGGGCTCAGCGGAGCCGAGAGGCCTCCCGGCCCCGGGATCAGCGGAGCTGAGAGGCCTCCAGGCCCCGGGCTCAGCGGAGCCGAGAGGCCTCCCGGCCCCGGGATCAGCGGAGCTGAGAGGCCTCCAGGCCCCGGGCTCAGCGGAGCCGAGAGGCCTCCCGGCCCCGGGATCAGCGGAGCTGAGAGGCCTCCAGGCCCCGGGCTCAGCGGAGCCGAGAGGCCTCCCGGCCCCGGGATCAGCGGAGCTGAGAGGCCTCCAGGCCCCGGGCTCAGCGGAGCCGAGAGGCCTCCCGGCCCCGGGATCAGCGGAGCTGAGAGGCCTCCAGGCCCCGGGCTCAGCGGAGCCGAGAGGCCTCCCGGCCCCGGGATCAGCGGAGCTGAGAGGCCTCCAGGCCCCGGGCTCAGCGGAGCCGAGAGGCCTCCCGGCCCCGGGATCAGCGGAGCTGAGAGGCCTCCAGGCCCCGGGCTCAGCGGAGCCGAGAGGCCTCCCGGCCCCGGGATCAGCGGAGCTGAGAGGCCTCCAGGCCCCGGGCTCAGCGGAGCCGAGAGGCCTCCCGGCCCCGGGATCAGCGGAGCTGAGAGGCCTCCAGGCCCCGGGCTCAGCGGAGCCGAGAGGCCTCCCGGCCCCGGGATCAGCGGAGCTGAGAGGCCTCCAGGCCCCGGGCTCAGCGGAGCCGAGAGGCCTCCCGGCCCCGGGATCAGCGGAGCTGAGAGGCCTCCAGGCCCCGGGCTCAGCGGAGCCGAGAGGCCTCCCGGCCCCGGGATCAGCGGAGCTGAGAGGCCTCCAGGCCCCGGGCTCAGCGGAGCCGAGAGGCCTCCCGGCCCCGGGATCAGCGGAGCTGAGAGGCCTCCAGGCCCCGGGCTCAGCGGAGCCGAGAGGCCTCCCGGCCCCGGGATCAGCGGAGCTGAGAGGCCTCCAGGCCCCGGGCTCAGCGGAGCCGAGAGGCCTCCCGGCCCCGGGATCAGCGGAGCTGAGAGGCCTCCAGGCCCCGGGCTCAGCGGAGCCGAGAGGCCTCCCGGCCCCGGGATCAGCGGAGCTGAGAGGCCTCCAGGCCCCGGGCTCAGCGGAGCCGAGAGGCCTCCCGGCCCCGGGATCAGCGGAGCTGAGAGGCCTCCAGGCCCCGGGCTCAGCGGAGCCGAGAGGCCTCCCGGCCCCGGGATCAGCGGAGCTGAGAGGCCTCCAGGCCCCGGGCTCAGCGGAGCCGAGAGGCCTCCCGGCCCCGGGATCAGCGGAGCTGAGAGGCCTCCAGGCCCCGGGCTCAGCGGAGCCGAGAGGCCTCCCGGCCCCGGGATCAGCGGAGCTGAGAGGCCTCCAGGCCCCGGGCTCAGCGGAGCCGAGAGGCCTCCCGGCCCCGGGATCAGCGGAGCTGAGAGGCCTCCAGGCCCCGGGCTCAGCGGAGCCGAGAGGCCTCCCGGCCCCGGGATCAGCGGAGCTGAGAGGCCTCCAGGCCCCGGGCTCAGCGGAGCCGAGAGGCCTCCCGGCCCCGGGATCAGCGGAGCTGAGAGGCCTCCAGGCCCCGGGCTCAGCGGAGCCGAGAGGCCTCCCGGCCCCGGGATCAGCGGAGCTGAGAGGCCTCCAGGCCCCGGGCTCAGCGGAGCCGAGAGGCCTCCCGGCCCCGGGATCAGCG